AATCATCAGAGAAAATTAAAAGTATATCTAATTTCAATTATTGTTCTCATACAAAAACGAATGCATTTCGGTCAGTAATGAATTAGAACGTCTTATACAACTTTCATTTCATGTCTCTACACTCAGCTACTCATTTATTCTTACTAACTTGTTTTGAGAAAGGACAAAAAAAAAAGAAAATTACTGAATGAGTAACTGTTCAATCTCTAACCATCCTTTATCAATAAGCGTATTTTTTTTTGAATATCACTCACAGTCGAAAGATACGTACTATGTGTTAAGTAGATTAATCATATTCTGATAGAATGAATACTCGCATGGTTAAACTAAATATTTTAGATTATTCAATGCCAATAGCATATATCGACTAAGATAATCGAATTTTAAGAGATTTACAGTCTATGTCATGTAATCACACTTTAAAATTTCAAGAGTATTGATTTTTTCTTATTACATCATGGTCAAATAGAGAGCTTGCCGAGTCACATGAGAAAAAACAACATTATATACATATTCAAAAACAATTTTCTGAAAACATCCAAGGTAAAACTATCTTTAATTATAGATGATACTCTTTTGTCTAATGTAACTCGTCCGATTCTATTCAGCTATGACATAAAAAGAAAAAAAAATCAATACTTCTGAAACTTTTACGTGTAACAATTTAAATTATTTAAAATATGTATCTTTCTTTTTCTTGAATAATTATTGAATCTTAAAAATAATTACACTAATATTTAACAACGTTAGATTTCAACTACTTCTAATATATTACAGATCAATAAACCAAATGTTGTTACGAAATGTGCAATCATTTCAATTGCTGAGTAACTATTTATTTAACTATCTATAAAAAATATTTAAATACGTAATTACTATAATGTTAAAATAACGGTAGATGTTCAATAACTAGTTATATGAAGAAGTACCATACAAAATTTTGTTAGAAATCAATTAATTGTTTAAATTATTCAATACCTGTATGAATTTTGTTCAATAGCTATTAAATCATTTAAATAGCGCTAGGCTTTAAATAGCTGTATATGATTCAAAAAAAGTATCTCTTTTGAAAAGCTACATGAGTAAGTTTTATTGATCCATTTGAATACTGATGTTCGCTTTTTTTCCATTATGGTTATCCACCAAGATACATTTTTGGTTGATTTAAAAGGTTTTCTATAACATATTTTTCCAAAATCCGTCAACTTATCGAAAATAAGCTACCAAATTTAATTTGCCAACCAACGTCGTAATTTATTAAATAAACTGACAATTGTCGAATATCAGATAACTTCACGAATAGGGACCACAATGAATCGAAATGCACAAGTCAATATCAAAATACAACCAATCAACACACGACTAGACAAATGGTACTAATGGACAGTACACCTCATAGTTCATTATAAACACGACAAAAGACTCGAAAGTTCTAAACAACATATTCATCAATTATGGAACAAAACATTCGAAACGACACAGACTATGATCACAAAACTTATCATTGGCTCTTATGACAGTAAAAATCTCACATAAGAACTAATACGAGGACGCCATCATCGACAATCAATTTTCAAAACTAACCAAATTACATAAAGTTATAACTACGACAACAATCTAGTCGAAACATTATCCTTCGAAACGAACATATGAACACTGTGCATGACATCTTTATCCTTCTACTATCCCATCAGAAAATGGAATAAAAATAAATAAATAGAAAAATAAATGAAAATTACAGAATTTCTGATTTCCCATGAACGTTTACACAATGCTGAATAACAGCAAATCACTTAAAATATGTCAACATGAACCATAGGTAATTTATAATAGGTACAATGCTCATCATGTTCCATAATACCTTTGAGCAGAGAGATATCACGATAATCGTTCCCTTAACTAAAAGATACCTATGTCAAAATAATCCACACACATTTCATGATTTTCCTTTCGGAAATTTATCGTTCTAACTGTGTGGGTGTAGTTTCGGGTTTACTCTTTATCTACACCTACAGCCTACACCCAATAGACCCCTTTCAATTTTATAACTAATTGTTGGTTGTCTTTGACTTCCATAATGAAATTATGATCGAATACTCTAGGTGTCTTTTAATATACTTTTGAATTGTTTCTATGTAGGACTACATTTTAAACTTACTTGATGATGACTATTTGAGCAATAATAGTCGATACAAGTCGTATGATGTTTTGAATCTCTCTCTCTGAAATACACCCACCCAGATAACTAATGGAGGTTCATCGTGACGATTGTTAAGCTCGTCACACTCTCTGAGTTTTAAACGTACAAGAATAAGACGCTACAGTTACAGGCAAGGTCACCGGCCTATTCAACATCGCGATTATCAGTAAACATATCGCGATATGCGAAATCCATAACTACTGCAATGTCGAGTGCTGCGATTTTCGTTCAACACTTTGACAAAAAACAAACGCATTTAATCGCAGTTTTACTAATCACACCGCGACGTCTCAGTAAGAAACCGCAATGAGTTGAAAAAACCGCGATTGATCGTAGGTTTACTTTAAATTTTTTGCTGTGGGTATACAGCCTAAGATAAATGTTTAATAAATATAGAACGAGCAAATAAAAATAGAACAAAATTTTAAATGAAATAATAAAACATGTATAGAATTATTTTAAATTTTGTTTTGTCCTTATTTGCTCGTTCTATATTTACTAAATATCTATCTGATGCTGTATATTATACCGAATTCTATTGATTGATGATGTCTGTTAAGAATTTGTCCTAATGCATGAATATATCAAATATTATCTGTTTCCCCATCAAATAAAACACATCAATTATTGATTTTTTCTTCTGTGTACTCATATATAATGCATTAATTATTTCTTTTCGTTTTTTTATATATTTTCGTGTTGTGGCATATGGCTTGATGTCATTACACATACTCTTCTGTTCTTCTTGCTATCTTATTCTTCTACTCAGGCGGACATGATTCTTAACAAAACCGCGTTTAAACCCGTTAAGGTTTCATAATAACGCTATTTAAACGAAATATTATTGTTAAAATGGTGTTATTACGAAATTTTAAACAAGTTAGAACACGGCACCCACTATCCAAAAGTAGTGATGTCTACATCTCAACTTCGTATAGAATGCTCGAGGAAACTTTCTTTTTATATATAGTGATAGTAAAAACAATGCTCTATTTTTTTTTGTGGTACTCCATCCTATCTTCAATTAATATCAAAATAATAAAATTTCGATAAGAGCTGTTTCGCTGTAAAATATGACAGTTAGACTAATGGTATTTGAATAACTTTTCATAGAAACGAGATAGAGAGCTGTAATTTTCACCGTTCGAAAGAGGAGACAAAGATGCGTTGAGTCGTATATTGTAGTTTGTTTTAATCTGATTTTTTTTAAAATTTTGAATTGACCTCTTTGAAAATAAATCTACCTTGTAAGATTTTTACAGTGAATTTTCAATTGTCAGATGTACATTCAAATCCTTAATGGAAGATCTACGAAATTGCACGAGATTGACATGCTTAGAACGAATCATTGAGGAGTTAGAGGTATTCTAGTAGAGTCTGTGAGTGATTTTTTTAGCAATTTCTGTCAAAAAAAAAATTTGTTTTTATTGTTTGCTTTTGAATAAGAAATCCTTTTTTTTGACATTTAGAAAATTGATTAAACAAACTTCAGATGAAATTCGATGCATCTTCGTCTCCTCTTTTGAACAGTGGAAGTTGCAGCTCTGTATCTTGTTTCTATGAACAGTTATTCAAAAAAATACTCACTTGAATGTTTTCTCAAATAGTATGAGTATAACTGTTTTATTTTACAGAGAAACAGCTCTTATCGAAATTTTATTATTATAATATTAATTGAAGAATGATGGAGTACTACAGAAAAATAGAGCATTGTTTTTACTATCACTACATATAAAAAGAAAGTTTCTTCGAGCTTTTTATACGAAATTAAAATGCAGGCACCACTAGTTTTTGGATTACTTTAAGTAAATATAAGGGTATAAGGATAAGCGCATAGGCTTAATGACATAAAGGCAAGATGATAAGTATAACAAGCTAGGGATTATTGCATAAATATAAGGGTATATTAGTAAGAGTATATGGATAAAGTTATAAATACATAGGTATAAGACTTTAAGGGTAAGAGTATAGGTGTAAGGATATAGAGACAGTGGTACCGTCAAGTCGTTTTAGGTAACTCACAAGTAATCATGATGCATTGCATTGCCTCTTTTTCCTATAGGATATGGTTAATTTCATACTTAAACACATAAAAACACGTTTAAAATATTAAACGAAAAGAAAATCGTAAAACCTTCACATTTTAATGCATTATGAACGCTTGATATTATCTGACATTATAAAAACTCATTAACATATCTAACGAACACAGCACAGTAAATTTAATAAACCGATTATTATGGGTTGGAACCTCAAACGATGAAAACATCATTTTAAACTTATAATGCCTTTGTAACACGTTAAAATGTGCGGTTTTTATGTCCTTGAGTGCGTTCATTTTCGACCTATTCTTATGCAGTTTTTTTTTTACTGATTTTGTTTGACTGGGTATCTTCAGTGGTTATTGCCATTGAATAAACTGAACTTACGTTCACAAAAATTCCATTACTGATAAAAGTAGTATTCATTTAATGAGCAAACTGAATTAGTTACTAATGCTTTAATTTCAATATTAAACAAATTATTAATTTACTGAGTAAACATAATAGTTACCAGATATTGAATTTTAAACAGATAGTTTAATTTGTTTTACTCATACATTGTATATAATACTGAGCAAATTATACTGAATGTTTATAAAAAATACTGGTAATTTAATTTGTTCCTGTAATTAAATATTAAATTAGAGTACATATAATTATTTTCGAATAAAACATTTTATTGAATAATAAAAAATAAAGATCAAATGATTTTCTTTTTTTTTAATAGTACCTTCATTCATTCATTCAATATTTTAAATATGGATTTTAAGGATTCAACAGCAGCACCTCAATACACACGTATGAGTCGTCGATCACAACAAGGTAGCCTGTTACCATCTATTGATACATTTGATAATCGAGCATCGTCTGCTCCACAAGATTCCTGTATACCTATTCGATCACTTTCTGTTCTAGGGCATCCAACAGTATATTATTGGACATCACATGGTAATTCAACAGAATCATTAAATGTATCAACAGCACAACCATTTAATTCATCATATAGTTTCAATACTATCGATAACCCCAAAGTACCACCAATATTCCCATCAACTCATCAAACATTTTATACACCAAAAGATTGGCATAATGCTCAAATGACAAATTATTTAGCATCGGATAAAATTCGTGCTGTATCGGAACGTTTACGTTCAGATGCAATACATTTAGCACGTGAAAAAGATGAACAAGCATTTTACAATAATTTTGAATCATCAAGACGTTTAGATGAACGTATAAATGATATTGGATATTGGAAAAAGAAATTAGAAAAGACAAAAGATAAAATGAAACGTAAAATAGATGATGTTGAAATTAAACGACATGAAGTTGAACGATTATTATCTGAAACAGAAAAACCATTACATATAGCACAAGAAAATGTACATGAACGTGAGAAACGTCAAGGTTGTATAATTTAATCTGTTTAAATAAACAAAAAAAATGAGGAAATATTTTTATTTAGGTATTGATCTTGTTCATGATAATGTAGAACAAGAACTTATTCGAGTAAGTTTTCATAATTACAAAACGAAAAAAAAATACACAGGAAAATTTATATAGGAAGTTGATACAATTAAATTATTGCAACAAAACCTTCAACAAATGCTTGAACGTCTTAATACACAAAATTCGTAAGTATTCTTCATTATAAAAGACTAAATATTTATGATTCAATATTTTCAAGTCTTAATCGTGCTTCATTATACGAATTAAAACGTGATGCACAAGATAAATTTCGTGCTCTTGTACTTGATTTAGCTGCTTATAACATTAAAACAACATCGCCTGATATTAACTTTTATAAGGATATTAAAATTGTGGATAACACGTAAGTTTGAATTCTTTCGGATATCAGTCTTATGCGTTTTAATATTCAAAACTGAAAACAAAACAAGAAATAACACAATTATTATTGAAAGATATTGTTTTTTTTTTCATTGAGCAATTTCCTCTTTGTTTCAATGAAGGTTTTACACGATTATTACTTTTTATCTTCTTAAGCCATCGATTATATCGAATTCTCAGCTAGAAGTATAGAGCGATCTAGAAAATTTGTTTAATTTACATAACCAACGCAATAGATATGCACTAAATCGAAACTCTAGTGTCATCGAGATCGAGTATTATTGAACATCGTTGATTTGCTTATAGGATTCCTTTAGTCCTTTTGTTTTTTGGATTATTCATTTCACATCATATAGATTTATCATAAATAATCTTCAAATCAATTCGATCGACTTCTATTTCCTTTTATAAATTAAATGAAGATGACTATAGTCTACCAGATCGAACTTGAGAGTTCTAATTCGATGTATGTCTGCTGTCCAATCTTTTAGAAAGCGATTACATGAACTGATTCAGAAAGAAGTCAAAAGAAAAAAATCTCACATATCTTCTATTCAAAGAGTATTTCACTATATCGAAGTACTATGACTGAGAAATAGTAATTATTATGAGATGAATCAATACGGACAAACGAATAGACTACAAAAATTAATCGAATATTTACAGTTGGTTTTTTCCTTCAATATTTTGTTTTTTAGTGCATCGATACCTGAATCATGGGTACAATATACCGAAGAAAATATTCATCGAGCACTTATTGAAATTTCAAAATCGAATGAATTGCTTAATGCTAGTAACCAACTTATAGTAACAACTGACAATCATATATGGTCACAATGGAATCATGTCAATATTTCACTTGAAAATCGTATAAAAGAAGAACAAATAGCAAAAAATAAAATTCAAATTCATCTTGAAAAGGTTTCTTTCATTATTACTTGGAAAAAATTCATAAATATATATATATATATATACTCAAATTCTTTCTTTTTAGGTCCTTCAAGAAATCTTTAATGTTGAACAAAATATTGAATTTTTGAAAAAAAACATTTTTGATCAAGACGTATTTCTGAAAGTTGCTCAAACACGTCTAGAAACACGTACTAGACGACCAAATGTTGAAGCATGTCGAGATTCTGCTATGCATAGGTTGATAGAAAAATTAGGAACGCAACGGTGACAATGTATCGAAAATTCACTATCACTGTTGCATTCCAATATAGAAAAAAGAAATCAATATTTTTTCTTTTCTTTTATTTAATATATAGCTTAATTCAAGAAGTTCATGATTTACATGCAGCTATTGCTGATCTTCATGCTAAATTACATCAAGAAGAAAATGCTCTACAACAGTTATTATATACTAAATCAACTTTAGAACAAGATTTATCAATTAAAAATAATTCATTATTTATTGATTCTAACAAAGTTATGGGTATTCGACGTACATTTACGATGAGTATACCAGAAAAAAGTTTCTCTACATCATTATTGTCTTCTCATCCGTTTGATCTGATTGCTCTGTGAAGAAATGGTAAGATTTATTATTGATTAAAATAATAGTAGTAAAAAGAAAAACAGAGTTAAATTTGATTTTTGTTTTATTTTCAAAATTTTAGTGAACGGTTCATCAATATCTTCCAAATAAAGAAGCTAATCATGAATACCATTCGCTTTCTTCGTCACAGAATATAAAAATAAACAAGATACATATTATTACTTTTTTTTTTTGCTGCTTTGTAGAAGTGTCGGTTTAGCATTAATCAATCCTTTTTTTATGCTTTTTTGCTAGAATTAAAATAATAATTTAATGCTTTTATTTTAGTATTAAAAAAAGAAATTAATACTTTGGGATTAGTATTACATTAGTATTGGGATAATACTAATACCTACCATGATTATGTGAATTTCGTATAAATATATCCATTTAGTGTTACTATCAGTTTCTATCTACTCGAATTTTCTTTGTAACGTTTATTTAAGAAAAATATTGTATATATATTGCTTCGATACATGTACATTGATAATCTTTTAGTTTCATCTGATAGGAGTTGAAGTATATAAGTATAATGTCATGAAATTTATATTAGTTTTTTTTATTTATCTTGATAATAATCGTATAAATATTCATCAGATTTCCCTATTGTTATACTCTTGTATGCGTATGCAACTTAGCAGAATCATTTTGGTGACATCACTTCATAATGAATCGTGTTATGTAGTAAGTTTTTACGGTGAAACATTAATCTAACACTAGTTTACGAATTAAATTCAAGCTCAATCTCGGTACGTCGGAAGGGTTCGAAATCGGATACTATACACAGTGATTGGATCTGACCAATTACTTTTCGGCGCATTTGGGTTATTCACAGAGTTTTCCATTGAAATCTGGCTACCAGATTTACTGGATTCCGGTCACATTCATAAAATCGAAAGCGGCCAAGATCTGTTCATATCCAATACGATCCGGCACTATCCTGTGTTAGGAAATTGTTGGAATCCTCCATGATAAACTACGCTTGATTTCCGAATAAATCTCTTTCAATTGCTAGTATCGGATCATCTCAGATCATATCAGAATGAAGCAGTTTCATCTATCAGATTTTATCACTCCTGACAGCGACAATTCGAGCAAAACGAATAATATGCGATCATCGGATATAAACGAAAAGTCTTGCAACTAAATTTTGCCTATTAATCAAAAACACACTGAAGCGATCATAATCCATAAATGTATGTTATACTCGTTTCACTCGGTTTATTCGAGCAAAGTCTATCCGAACGGATGGCATCGCGACACCTATATTAATACTAATAGAGATTATCAAATTCCAGTCATTTTAAATTAAAAATTGATATGGTAGTAGTCAATGAGCTTTCAATATAAATAAATGAATAAAAGATGATGAAAACACATCAAAATAGTCACAAACCTATTAAGATTCTCCTACATATGATAAAAATGAATTGTTTCTATTTTCTTATTTATGTATATCTAGATGCCACGACTCGCGACTCTATGAGGTATTACATCAAATAAGCCGATATGAGCATATCCAAGTGAACAAAATATGAGGCCGTTTTTGCAGAGTAAAACACGAAATCGATGGAATAAGAATGCAGCATTCCTAGTCGATAAGTCTTAGGATTTCCTAGTGACTTCCGGTCAAATTCCTGTTCTTTTTCGCTGGAAACGATCAGAAATTGTCGAAAAAATTCGGAGACTTTGGGTGGACGTGGGTGTGGGTGACTGAATCTGAGTCTTCTCTTCATTGACAGTCACACCCACATTCATTATGACGTCCTGCTCAGCACTACGATATCTTGCAACTAACTTTTAAAAAATTTAGGTTTTTTATTTTAGGGATCAATGAAATCACGAATCGAAAGTCCTAAAGAAATTTCGATCCGAATCGAAATTCATATAACCCTAATGTCGTATATAGTTGGAACCGAAAGCCGTAAACATTACCGCCAGTTCTTACCAGTACCGCGATATGCCGACGGTACTGCGAATAAACGTACGACATGGAATATATTTTTTTTCTTCTTTCAAAATCTAGCCAGAAGGGCTCAAAGGTTCGTAGGAGGCTGAATTCTCCTTAGCTTAAAATCTTGTCTTTACTACTGTTACCAAGTCTTAGTGAAAATCTTAGTTCTCTTTTTCGATAAAGCACTTGACAACTGCATATTCATAATCGTAAGATAATTTCTCAAATATGCTTGCAGGCGTACAAATTTTCCATGATATGGACAAGTGCCGTCAGTATATCACTGAGAATGCAAATATCAAGACAATTTTCTTCTTCACATTTGGTTCTATGGTAGACAAAAATACTCTTGCACTCGATCGAAGCAAGAGTTTCGATTAAGAAGATCTAGTCTCTGGTTTGATATATTTTAAAAGTTGTTGAGTGCATGGATGTGATGATTAGCTTTCCTTCATTCACATGCAAAAATCACACCGTATACGCATATTCATTGAACAAATTAAAACTTAATTTGAACACATCAATGAAGAAAACAAAAGAAAATTACAATAATGTTATGGTATTTAAACTATATTATATAATGCATTGATCTTACAAATGATCAACCATCAAGTATAATAAACAATGTTCTTTGTAAGAGTGTCCGTGTAGGTGTAGATGAAGGGAAGCTTACGCACATCTAGGCTACACCCTAGTAATGAGACTTAATATCTGTGCTGATCAGTAGCGGATCTAGAATTTTTAAAAACGTTATATCTCACGTTCAGAGCATGGGATCCACATGAAACTTATGTAGGATGACGTTGCACCCAAATGGAAGGTTTTTACGAAAAACATTTTTCGAGCGAAGTTTGCGAAAAATATTTCGTTTTTAAAATCGCCATCCCCTCAAATTTTTTTTGTTTTTAGCGATAATCTATTGTTAAGAATT